GGCCTGGAACTCATTATGTAGATCAGGCTGGCCTTGAACTCACAAAGATCCGCCTGCCTCTGCCTCCTGAGTGCTGGGACTAAAGGCATGTGCCACCACGCCCAGCACAGTTACCTTTCTTATACAGCCCAGACCCACCTACCTAGGGATGGTGCTGTCAACAGTGGTTTGGGCCCTCCCACATCAATCATCAATCAAAACACTCCCTCACAGGCATATCTGATCTGAGCAGTCCCGCAATTGAAACTCCCTGAGAAAACTAGGCTGTAGATGGAGCTAACCAGGACATGGGGTGTGTGGCACCATGATGAGAGAAGCTGGCTCTCTGGGGCCATGTGCCTATGGAGAGCTTCTCCAGCCAAATGCTTCTGCTTTTCCACTCTGCCTCCTAAGCAAGGTCAGGGAGCTAGGCTATGGGGAGAATTGGACTTGGGCAGGATGACCCCCCACACACAAAGGACCTGCCCATGTTCCCATATCTACCTCTCGGGACTGCTGAGGAAAGGGGGAATGGCTGGAAGATGGCTCCTGACCCTGGGGCAGAACAGCACACCCACATCCCAGGGATTCTGACCTACATCTCCTTCACTCGCTGTATCAGAAGGCAGATTTTGATCCTAAACCACTAGTTTGGCCTGTTTGGAGTCCTTGTGGCTCAGTCTCTACTCTTTCTCCCTATAGGAGGCAGCCTCCGCACCCAGCCCAACAGCTCCAGAGCCACCAGTGGATGTTGAGGTCCAGGATCTGGAGGAGTTTGCACTGAGGCCAGCCCCCCAGGGTATCACCATCAAATGCCGCATCACTCGGGACAAGAAGGGGATGGACCGGGGCATGTACCCCACCTACTTTCTACATTTAGACCGTGAGGATGGCAAGAAGGTGAGGTTTCTGTGGACATGGATTTTCATCTAGGCAAGCCTGAAGCTCTGGGGCTAGAATCTCAGGGATTTCAGATCCAACACTGACCTGGCAGTTTTCCAGGGAAACAAAAGCCTCCACACCTGCTCTGGGCAACCCATGTTTTTGCCAGTGTTTATGTGTGTGTGCACATTCATGTGTTGGGGGAGATGAAACAGGAGAATCACTAGTGTGAGTGGCAACCATGACTGTAGGCCAGAGCTGGATCTAGAATATATTGCTTTACTTCTAAGGTGTTCCTCCTGGCTGGAAGGAAGAGAAAGAAGAGTAAGACTTCCAATTACCTCATCTCTGTGGACCCAACAGACTTGTCTCGGGGAGGGGACAGCTACATTGGGAAATTACGGTACAGGCTCGGTGACAGGAAGGAGGGAGGGAAGGGAAGGATGGTAGGGGCGGGGGGCGGGGATGGACAGACAGCAGGTTCTCTGCTGTAATGGTCTCTCTGAGTGAGACCAGAGTTAGATCCTCTACCACGATTCTCTCTGCCTGTCATATCTAACCACAGTCCAGTCCGTGCCCAGCATTGAGCCAGACACGGATTAAGCTGCTCTTGGGCATTGGGTCCAGGGCCTAGCATTTATGAGTGGTCAAGCCAGGATGTTTCTGGTGATATCCGCCACCAGGGAAGAGCTGCTTTGGCCCCATGGTCAGAGCCAAGGAGCAGGGAAAAGAGGAGGCCCTGGGGAGGTAGGGGTGGCAAGGCTGTCAGTGAGACCTCATTGAGGGAAGGAGGTTTGCTGAGTTCCAGATTCGGGGAGCACAGGTGACAGTTGTAGGGGAGTAGCTACAGCTGAAATGGGTCTGGGCAGGACAGACAGCCATCCTCCATGGGGTCTCCCAGATGCCGTTCTGCTTACTCACCTCCCATGAAGGCGGCACCCCTGTCCCTTCAGATAAATCTGTGAATCCTGATTCACTCTCTGAATTTTTCACTGAAATGAGATGCCCTTTGAGCCAATGTAGAGCAAGTGCAGACTTGCTTATGGAGTACCGGCAATGTGGATTTAATCAACAGTGTCTTCCATGTCTGCCTCTGACCCAGCCCACGGTGCCCTGCAGGTTCCTTATAAGACAGACAGTGGCTTGTTCCCTGCCACAGGGGAGGGAATATATAACTCTTGATTGTTCCTTTCCTTCAGGTCTAACCTGATGGGCACCAAGTTCACTGTTTATGACAATGGTGTCAACCCTCAGAAGGCATCGTCCTCTACACTGGAAAGTGGAACCTTGCGCCAGGAGCTGGCAGCTGTGTGCTATGTGAGTCCTCCGGTCCTGGTTAGATGTGAACAACCCAGTCCATTCTGCCTGACCTGGGGGACACTCCATTTATCTTAGTGGGTAGTCAAGGCTGTGTGCAGAAGGGCTATCCTCTGCAGTATGACTCTGCCTTGGACAGGATTCAGATCACAGCAGGTCAAGTTCTTGGGGTGCTCTAGGAACCATTCCTGGTCCTGTGCAGCCTAGCCTAGGAATCTCCTAGACAGGAGGACGGGGGCGTGGCCTAAGTCCTTTTCTGTGCTCCCCTCCCATCATCCCTCTGCAGTGCCAGGCCCTGTGTGGATCCTAGGCCCCTTTCAGAATCACCCCAATTAAGGGCTCTACTGGAGGTACATCCTGCTTTCGCTATAGTTCTGAGACTGAAGCTCAGAGGTTAAGTCACTTGTTAACGTTACACAAGCCAGACTGTATAGTTCTCACTTTTGCTTAAAAACTCAGTTTTGTTTTTAAAGATGGGTTCGGTGCCCTAGGAATCTGGGCAAGGGCACTTCTTAGAGACCTTTTTAAGAATCTGCAGCTATTTTGGATGGTCCTGAGGTGCCACCTGCTGGCCAGTTTTAGAGAGGCAGCCTGAAGCCATTTATAGTCCAAGAACTGTTTAAGGGACTAAGGGCATAGTAAATGGACATGGTTACAACACTTAAGTCCCTAGTAGGAGAGACATGCCATAAAAACAGACATGTAAGTGAAATAAGTGTGTTCTTTATCAGTACTAAGAAGAAAAATCAAGTAGAGATAGTGGTGTATGAATTGTTAAGATGTGTCTGTGGCCTGTAGGAAGGATGGCAGGGAGAGTTCCATCAAGGTAACGCTTGTTAAAGTTGGAAGGAAGAGAAAGCCAGCTGTATGCATATCCATGGGACACAGCCAGGGCAGAAGTCATGAGTGCCTGGCATGAAGTGGGACTGGCAAGGAGGGCAGAGTAACTGGAGAGGGGAGTAAGAACAGGGGCCAGATCCCACAAGGCCCTGCAGGTTAGAGTAAGAACTTCAGCTGGGGAGGAAAACATCTCATTTAACAGGACTGACACAAGTGTGCTGTGTTGAGAACAGATGGTATGGAGGCAGGCCTGGGGGGCCAAGAGCAGAAACAAGGAGTTACCAGCTGCTCTGTGATCACAGATCCTGGGTATAATCTGAAGGTATAGCTACAAAAGCTGCTGATAGATTAGGAGTGGGGTGAGTGGAAGAGGTCTCAAGTATGACTCAAATTTTCCTGATCAGATAGAAGTACTAAGTTGAGGAAGTAGTTTAGGCTCTGTTAAATGTAGAGATGCCTGTTAGACCGTCATGTGCAGGTGGTGCAGACATCTTTATTCCCTTGCTCCAGTTTCTCCATGGTAAGTATTTCTAGGTGACCAGTGCTGAATTCTCCGTTTCCCAGGAGACAAACGTCTTAGGCTTCAAAGGCCCTCGGAAGATGAGTGTGATTGTCCCAGGCATGAACATGGTTCACGAGAGAGTCTGTATCCGTCCCCGCAATGTGAGTTTCTCCCTCCCCCAGGCTTCCCCAGCACCCCAGCCTCTGCATGACCTTCTAAAGGCAGAACTCCAGCAGGGGCATATATGTGTGCGTGTAGGGGATACAATTTGAGAAGGGAACTCTAAGTCTCATTCCTGGGAAAGAGCCCCCTCTGGGTGGTCATAATGCCAAGGCTTGGCCTAGCTCAAGTGATGCTGCCCCCAGGAGCATGAGACACTGCTAGCACGCTGGCAGAATAAGAACACGGAGAGTATCATCGAGCTGCAGAACAAGACGCCAGTCTGGAATGATGACACGCAATCCTATGTACTCAACTTCCATGGGCGTGTCACTCAGGCTTCTGTGAAGAACTTCCAGATCATCCATGGCAATGACCGTGAGTGTTTCTGCTCCCTCCTATATACTGTCCGTGCGATACCCAGGGCCCTTGGGTTGAGGGTCAGCTCCCTTAGCCCAGTCCACACCAGTCGTATCAGGCTGTGGGCTTACTTTAGATGTAAAGACCTTGCTGGCTGTAATGATTACAAAGCCCTGGAAGAACCTTTGAGCCCTGGTCCTAGATTCTGTGTGCTGTGCTCAGCAGAGTCCGGGGCTTGGGAACACCCTTTAAATGGATGTCTTTTCTTCCCTGTCTCCTGCTGTCTGTGTGCATCTCTCTCTCCTTTACCCTCTGCTCCCTCTCTCCTGTCTCTTCTCCCAATGGGCCTCGTCTTCATCCTTTGGGATTCTCTGGCATCTCTGCTTCTTTTCCTTCCCTCTTGTGGCCTACATGTCTATCCTCTACCATCCCTGCTCCTGGTTTCTCTCTGTCCATGCTTTTGCCTGGCCACAGCGGACTACATCGTCATGCAGTTTGGCCGTGTAGCAGAGGATGTGTTCACCATGGATTACAACTACCCACTGTGTGCACTGCAGGCCTTTGCCATTGCTCTGTCCAGCTTCGACAGCAAGCTGGCCTGCGAGTAGAGGCCTCCTCTATCTTTGGGGTGGCCCAACCTGGAGTGGAGCTTGCCTGCCTGCCTGCCTGTGGAGACAGCCCTGCCCGCCCTCTTGTTCACAGGCCTTCTGCCAGAAGCTGTGGCCTTAGCAGGATCCCTGGCCTTGCCAACCAGAAACTGGCTGTTCTGCCTCTGCCACTGGTGAGGGTATAGTGAGTGGGTACAAAGGACAAGAGTGCTCCTGTTCCTAATGGTCCACACACGTGCCCACTCTGGGGTCGGCCACACTGGCAGACCTCCTCAGCCAGAAGGCCAGAGGAGGGACGGGGAGGAAGCACAAGCAGGGATGCTGTGGCCCAGCCATCCACTCAGCAGCCCAAGTCAGGACAGTGGGTGCCCCATAGGTAGGAGTAGTGAGTGTTTGTGTAGGTATAGGGCACATGGACTTCATGTAGTAAAGGGTTTGTCCCCTACTTCAAAAGGGCCCATCCAGGCCTGAGAAAAGTGAGGGGGTGGTGGGGACAGGTGGGCGATAGGACCTTGCTAACATTGCAGGGGCCTGACTGTGGGAACTAATCAGCTGGGGGCTTAGAGTGCTAGCTCATTTGTTGCTTCAGGTTTGCCCTGTGCTTGAAGAAGCAATGGGAACCCAGCTCTCAAAGCCAAATATCTGAGTGGACGAGGCCTAGGGGAGGGTCCTGAGCAGGTTCCCTGCCTCAGGGCTGTCCTTTGGCGACCTGCCAACTAGCCCAGCAGTTTGCAGTTGACCGTTCCCAGCACAGCACCTGTGAAACATACATGGAGTCTAGGTCACCAGTCTCAAGTCATGGCGTGCAGGGAGAATGTCATCTCTGGAAAGACCTAGCTCTGGGTGCCCTTGATGGTCTCAGCTTCCACTGTTGCCAGTCAAGTTATGATTGATGAGGTCTACTGTGTATGGTTCTTCATGGGGGAATGGGGTAAGGGAGCAGAGCATATTTTAGGGTCACAAGAGATTAGAGGTAGCAGGGCTCTTAGGGATTGGTAATCCTTTTAGTGAAATCATGCTGAGAAAATGGGACTGTCTCCTGGTTACCCAGATGGTTAATGGCAGATTTCAGAACCTCAAGTTCCATTGGTTTCCTTATCTCACTGTTCCCCCAAAAACTAGACTCTCCAGCTCTCTGGCCTTCTGGTCCATTCTGCACGCCCTTTATCCTTCCCAACTCGACTTGGAACCAGCAGTTCTAAAGTTGAAAACCTTTCAGTAGGGAATCAGGCAGTTCTCTGTTGGAAGCTGTTTGGGTTTTTTTCATTCTGATCTGGCCTCACCTGTGCCGGGCCCCTCCATGAGGGCTTCAAGCTATGAGCAGACTTAGGAGGCCCCACTGCACACTTCTCTGTGTGGCTGTGACATGCGGCCCAAGGATTCTGGGGCTGGGCCTGAGCGCTCTCCACTGCCGCTTTTCCTTGGATGGCACCACTCACCTGGTAGGCTTGGGAACTCTGAGCTCTTGTCTGTTCGTTATCTGCCCTAGCAAGAGGCTTCTTGCCCAAATGGAGATTTTAAAAAATCAGTGGAAAATGAACATTTAGATACTGCTTTAAAGTAGATACACTTGGAAAGGCTAAGTAGAAATTTTAAAAACTAAGGTCATACTTGGCATACATAAGTGAGGCTCTACAGGTGAAGGAAATCTTTCCCTGTTAGGTGGGAGTTGTATCCTCAGTTTTTGGTAATCTAGATTTTCCTGTGTTGGATGTTAAGCAGGGCACACTTACTGTAGCAGGATCTCACACACCTGAGCCATACATCTGTGTGAGGCCCCTCCAGGACCTAGCCTTTATTATGATGGTTAAGGTGGTCTAGTTTCTAGGGGGCACTGGATGTCTCTGGTGGCTGGCCTGTTCCTGATGAAAGCTTACCGTGCCATCCCTTTTCCAGAGTTCTACTTTGCCCTTCCTTCTTGACTGTAAGGAGAAACCTGCTAACATTAGAGGTGATAGAAACTAGGTGATCTCCAGTCTGGTCCAACTGTTTCTCTGGGTCTACAATTTTAAGGTAGAACAGCTGGATTCTAGGGTATAGTGGGCGAGGGGTGCTGGTGGTAGAGTGGAACAGAAGCACTCTGCTCTGTTTTACCACACAGAAAAGGGGGTTGGCTGGCTGTTTTGGTGCCATCAGGAAATAGGCTGAACTTTCTAGCCAGCTATGGAGAAAAGCAGCCCCAGCACAAACCTGCTGTTGGGCAGAGTGACAGCAAGAAGAGCTGATTCACCTGCCTACAACCAGCTTCACAAGGTCAGCTCTTGAGACTGAGCTGGCGATACTGCCTCTGCCTGACTGGCCCTGTGGACACAGGCCCAGGGACTCAGCTGCCAGGGCTCTGAAGATCAGCTGGGTTCAGCCTTTCTCTCTCCTACAGTGAGTTCTTGCTCTTCACACCCCCTGCCCAGCTGGCCCTTGACTGGGCAGCGTATATAGAATGTGCGGTCCCTAAGAGTGTTGGGCAGCTGGAACTTTAGGCAGCTCCTCTATAACTGCTACTGGCTCTAGACCCCAAAACTCTCCACCCTCTGTTCCAAAACAGTTCCTCTGCAGAGCGGTGACATGAACTCCCCCAGCTCCTCTCCAAGTCTAGCTTTTTCTTTCCTTCTGGCTCCAAGGTGCTCTGTGTCCATCTGTGTGTGTACGTCTGTGAGTCTGAGTGTATCCGGAGGAGAGGGCAGACTCGTAAACAATCACCTGAAGTTTCTTAAGATCATACTTCTGAGGGTGAGTAGGAAAGGAATGAGGCAGTTGCGCTCACTATGTCCATTTCATGTGTTTCACCAGGAACTATCTGGGGACTCACCAGCTCTTTCTCCCAAGGTTCTGAGCAGGAGGAAACTATTCAAGCAAGTTTAGTCTCAGCTCTTACTTGGTACCACCTGAAGAAAGTGGTGTGTCACATGCATCCTTTTATCTGGGTGTGCACATACTCTAGTGATGATGCCTTAACAGCCATGATGCTAAGGGGAAGCACATAAGGTGCAGGCCTGTGTGAAGACAGGTATTGGGAACGAAAGAGTGTGATGACAGACTAGAAGAGAAGTCTTGGAGCCTACCTCCTTCAGTGACAGATAACGTGACAGAATTGTAGAGGCAGGGGGCTTTCTTCATTCTTGAAATGGCAGGATACTTACCACTGAACTGTATTTAGAGGTAGTTCTAAGTTTAACAAGCAGCAGGAGTGACTTGAAAGGAAAAGATCCATGCTTCACTCATATATGGTCTGCAGATACAGGGAGAAGCAGCGTCTGTGGCTCTGCTATGCAAGCATAACTTGCATCTCCTTGGTGGACAGCTTGGTTCCCCCTTACTCAGTAACCCTGGCCTTGGCTTCTCTGTATTCCCTGCCCAGCTGTGATATCCCTATGGGGTCTGACGGTATCAGGTGCCATTAGAGCAAGCATGCTTTCTTTGGCGTCGAGCACCATGACTGGGTCCTTACACTGCCCTGGGCCCTGGCTTGGAGACCTGCTGTAGCCTCTAGGAGCAGGCTACTGGATGGACTCGTGTTTCAGTTTATGGCCCCTATCCTTATGTACCTTCAGTTTGCGATTTTCTGTCATCTCAAGATCTTGAGAAGTACTGGGATAAGTTTGAGTTTTAAGTTTTCCAGCCAAGTAGAGAGACAAGGTGGTCTTTAGAAGAATACTACCACACTTAGAGCAGCTATATGCATGTGAGCAAACCACATAATCTACATCTGTTTTTTTTGTTTGTTTTTTAACTGTCAAAGCTTGCTGCAGGAGTCAGGGTGAAAGAAAGCGGGTCCTTGCTTTCATCACCCCCTTCCTAGCTCATTACTGTGCCTTCTTTCTTTCCTAAGAAAGACATCGCACCCCTCTCCTGTTCTCTTGTCCCTCCCTCCCCTGTCAAGGTCCAGGTAGAGCTGGAGGTGAGGCTGAAGTCTAGAGTTTTCTAGAGGGCACCTCAGAGTAATTAGAAGGGGAACCCAACACCGGCCTCTTTGATCCTGCATTTGGAGACAGGGGGCTTGGTCAGATGAGTAACATTTCTCTTGCTGGGAACACATATTTAGCCAGTTTTCACAATGCCTAGGCGTGTATGTCTATTTGCACAAGATTGTCTTTTCCTATTTTGGAGTGGTCAGACATTTTATTTTTGTTCAAAATTATCTCAAGTTTTAGACAAACTTACAAAACTGTGCTTTTATTAAGTGACTTTTTGAATAAACTTTTTGGTATTCTGAAGCAAATTATTTATTTATTGGTATGTGCAATGACAAACTTGGTATTTTCCCATAATGACATTATGTATGTTGTAGAATTTAGTGTTTGTCTAAGTACAGACATATATCAACAAATTAAACTTGAACTGTTTCACTGCCGTGTCTTTGTTTTTCATAAAGAGGATAAAACATCTCTCCTAAAAATGTTTTCTGTAACATTCATTCCTAGGAGCCTCAAATGGTTAGGTGGGTAATAGCCACAAAAAGAGCTGAGTAACCAGTGACATGCAGATCAGCACTGTCCTCTTTCTCGACCTGGGTCATTCAAGTTTAAGGACTATCAAAGCCATATCCACAAAGGTGGGAATATGTGAGGTTAGAAGATACTTCAGGTAGAGCAGTCCACTTCAGGGTCATCTGGGCCACCTGAAAGAGCTGGCTGGCAGTTCCCAAGTATTCCTTGTAGGCATGGCGCTTAGGAACAGAACTGGGCTACAGGGCTGAAAAGGGTAGAGAAAGCCCAGCCATCTGACTCCTGGCCCTGTTCAAAGCCTTAACTGTCTAAACAGGACTTATGCACGCTCAAGAATCATTTCCAGTCTGTGTTGAATTTGAAGCCAAGACAACGGGAGCCTATAGTTGCTGCTGGAAGCAGGGATTTCAAAGCTGATCTTGAGGGAGGAAGTCACAAAGTCACACAGATAGACAGAATGACCCTGGATCATTCTTAGCAGTCAAGATAACCTTAGAGGGTATCAAGTGGAACAACCCAGCAATACAAGACTTGAAGACAGTGATGGTGTGAGGCACCCACTCTATGCTTCACTCTGGGACAGACATTCTGTAAACAGTATCTCATTTAATCCTAGCAGTCCTTAAGGTGGACATGATTCCCAGTTCATCCATAAGAAAACTGGTACTCTGAGAAATGAAAGAATCTAAGGAAAAGATAATTTTCCCTGTTTTCTTGGTATTAGAAAACCAAAAGTACATTTTAGACATGTTACTGGTTAAGGGTACAGAATGTATCTCTTAGTTTTTGTATTCCTGCTGAGTAGCTAACACACTTTTTCTTTTTGAATGCAAATAATCTATATAAAAGGGTAATTTAAGAATGTGTATAAAAAGTTGGGTTTGTTTACCCAAAACAATGTTTTTGATGTGACCAAGAGTATTTCCTACCTGAACTATGGCCTTGCTCCTGGAGCCACTGCCTTTGTGTGAAAGGCCACAAACAGGACATTCTAAAAGGGAAAGAGGCTTCTGTTTGTTCAGTCAGAAATCTTAAATTGGTAAAGAACACAGATCCAGGAAGGTCCTGGTTCATAGCTATTATCTTGGCTGAATGATTAATCTTGACTCATATGGGATTTAGAATCACCATGGAAACACACTTCTGTCTAAGAGGATGTTTCCAGAACGGTTTAGGTGAGGAGGGAGACCCTTCCTATGTGTGCGACACTACCCCATGGGCTGGGTCTCAGACAGAATAAGGAGGGAAAACAAGCTGAGTGCCTGCATTCATCTCTCCCTGCTTCCTGACTGTGGATCAAGATGAGCAGCTGCCTAACACTCCTGCTACCATGCCTCCCCTGCCACAATGGACTGTATCCTCAAACTAAGCCAAAATAAACCCTCTCTGCCTTACACTGCCTTTGTTAGGTATTTTGTCACAGTGATGAGAAAATTAACTTATACACATGGCATAGTCATTACTGAAGTTCCTTTAAGTGTCCCAGTTCTGACTCTTATTTTATCACTTAAGCTGCAGAAAGCACAAAGAACATGGTTCTCACAAGCCATTATTTCTAAAGGCTAAGTCTACAATATACATCTTGGACCCAGCCTCTGGAGCTAAGGAGATGCTGTCCTGTGTCCTGTTACAATCCAGTAAGCGATTCTGCTGACTGATTACTTACCTGATTTACCAAGCATGGCCCTAGATGATGCAGTAGTTTCTTGAGCCAGCTATGCCACAGTGCCGCAGAGGTCACTGCAGACCTAACACCAAGGCACTGATGAAGTCTGCAGCCCTTAATACAAGAAATGAAGGTCATGGTAACAAAAACCAGTCCCGTGATGCTGGTCACCCTAGATTGGTAAAAATTGTCATATCCAAAGGATAATTTTTTAAAAAATTGTATTCTAAATGACTGAAAGGTACAATTTCTGGTATATACAAACATAATATATTCCTAATCTATGTGCAAAGTAAGATTAGGGCATTAAGATCCATGAGGGTTGGTACTTCTGGTGAGTACTGATTCCAAAAACTAATTTTCCCCAAACACTAATAAAGAGTTGGCTATATAACACTTTTCATAGAAGCCTCTTCAAAATTCCGGAACGCATATGTGTGCTCTCACACCCCACTGTTTTTGCTAACCTCTTCCTGCCAAAAAATGTCTTTCTTGGCCACTTGGATAAGCTTTTAGCATGCCACAAGGTGTTCCCCCTGAAATTTCTTAAAAGTACTTTGAGAAAGATCCTCTGGTGCTCCTAGAGTTTGGACTCCACATTGCAATTATAGCAAACCATTGTCTAATAAAACAGCTACCACTTGGTGACGGTTATCATGCACGAGCTAGAAGTAAAGCTGTTTTATATGCATGGACAACGTGATTTACAACTTACAACCCAAGGAGACCTGGGCTTTTACTAGACTTACTTTACAGATGCTGACTCAGACTGCCCAAGACTGACCCAAGATCCTGCAGCTAGTGTCAAGGAAAGACCATGACCCAGTTTTCTCTGTCTAAAGAACTCGCAGTCTTGAGTCTTCTTAGTCTACAGAGCATTTGATCTGTTAGGGCCCCACATTACTGGAATTTTCAAGGTACAAATTCAGTCTTTTATTCTTAGTACTGCTGGAAAGTTGTCTATTGTTGTCTATTGAATGACTGAAAAAGGAAACAAGTTCTTATCTAATCATATCCTAAGGGGGAAATAGAGCCAGTAACCCAGGGCTATCCTAAATCAACTTCTCAGCAAATGAGAGGAATCGTACAGAAAATAATCTATGAAAATAGAAGAGAGTGCCGACAGTGCTTTTACATTTAGCGTTACATTACACCTAGACCATCTTCAGTACATGTTTGACTGCATTTTTTTTTTTTTTTTTTTTGTCTTTTTGAGACAGGGTCTCTCTATAGCCCCAGCTGTCCTGGAACTCGCTATGTAGACCAGGCTGGCCTTGAACTCAGAGATCCGCCTGCCTCCGCCTCCTGACTGCTGGGATTAAAGGCCTGCGCCACCACACCCGGCATCGGACTGCACTTTTTACATTCTACACAGAAATTGAGAGAATGCGGTGTATTGTTTTATTCAATCTTCAATGACTATAGTTCAATTAACAAGTAATGTCTTATAGTAGCTGTACACTTACGAGTGTCTACAGCATCTTCTGGTGTCATATTCAGGCCCAGCACAGTGAAACTCTAAAAGCTGTACCTAGCTTCACATCATTTCTTACTGTTTGAGTCTTTCCCATTTCATGACTGGGAATGTCCTCCGACACGTCCTCTTTAAACTGCCAGGTCTTAACATGTAACTGAATTGCCTCATCCTTCTTAGAATTCACAAGTGCCAGCCTTGACTCAGGATGACAGACTGACAGCAAGTAAGAATAGGCCTTTAACTCTGGTCAAAATCTTCGTCCTGGGGCTGGAGAGATGGCTCAGTGGTTAAAAGCACTGACTGTTTTGCTGAGGACCTGGGTTTGATTCCCAGCATCCACATGGCGGCTACGAACCATCTTTAACTCCAGTTCCAGAAGAATCAGAAGCCCTCTTCTGACCTCTGCGGCATTGTACAACACGGTGCACTCACATACATGCAGGCGATACATTCATACACATGAAACAAAAATAACTAAAAAAAAAAAAATCTTCGTCCTAATTTAGCTCCCCTGCTTTCTCAGAGGACCCAAACACTCAGTGTGGAGCACAGTCTCTTCCCCAGGCCTTGCTCCACTGATTCTCTGCAGTCAACCTGCAGCCTCCCTGTTGTGCTGGCCCCAAATAAGGCATTTTAGAGCCTGAAATCTTGACTCTTATAGCCTTAAGTCCTCAACATCTTTTAAACTGATGACCATTCACAGGTAAATTATCTGTTAGGGTCAGACCTTTGCCCCTGTGGTACCAGTAAGTAGAATCAACCAAATATAATTACTGAATGGGCCGAGTTCTCTGATGGAGGAAAGGCAGGAAGAGAGTGAAGCTGTCCTGTGTTCACACAATTACAAGGTGACAGGTGTGTGAGCACCAGGAAGGACACAATATCCATGGTAGTGGCCCAAGAGCTATGACAGTTGAACACAGAGAAGGAAGTACAGGACACAGGGCCAAGGATGCAATCAGGACACCTTGAGAACAGAGTAATGGAAACCTCAGCAAATGCTGCTTTCACTCTACACCCTGGGGGCTGCGCTTCCTCAGTGTGCCCCCTGCATTTGCACTATCAGTGCTCTCCCGCAGCCCTTCATCTCCAAAGTCTTGGAGCCAGTCTTCTTTGGTCACTTCCTCTTGCTCACTATAGCCATCTGCACTGAAACCAGCATTTTCTGCCAGGACAGCAGGATCCTCTTCATGAAAACAGCAGGAACATGTTTCTGGCTTTGGATCACATGAGGTGACAGAATCCTCTTCCCGGGCTCCAGGGTCAGTGGGCAGACCTTCCCAGCTCAAATGGTCTGCTTCCTCTTGCATCACTCCCAGACTTTCCGCTATCTCTTCAGCAGAGGGCTCCTCTGGATCAGGGTAATCTACCAGGATTGTTTCTTGCCTATGCTTGATACAGTCTGAAAGGTCATAAATTGGATAAGTCTCTTCAGGGTAACCTAGAGAGAAAAGTGGCACAGTCTTACAAAAACATAGAAAGTGTCAAGCTCAGAGAGGATTTCTGCAATAGCCAACCTATCCTAAATAGATCCAAGCTCTAAGATGATTTTTAATAGTTCTAAAGTTTCACTTGAGCAAATTCCTAGCAGTCTGTTGACTATTCCAATGCCCTCTGAAATGCAAACCAATGCAGAGGAAAATCTCTTCTTAAGTAAGATGCTTAGGGTAGAGTTAAGTCTCACCCCACATGTTTCTGCAGTATTGATGAAGATTAAACAAACAACATGAGCCTTCAGAATTTAAAAAAAAACCACTAAGTACCAGATGGAGAGAGCTTAAGGCTAATGTTCACAATTTCTATTTGGAACCATTTCCAAATCTTGTGGTGGGAGTGAAGATGGAAAAAGGAATGTTAACTAAGCCCTTTGAAAAATAAACCATGATGCTTTCTACTTAATGAAACAACTGAAGTAGTTTGCAAGTGTCAGAGATGGCACGTAAGTAAGACATGCCCGGGATCCCAGAGGACAAGTGTTGCATTTTCAGAAGACAATTCCTATTGTTGGCATCTTCATCTTCACAAAATGGAACAAAGGAAAACCAGTAAGCAAAATGAGTAACATTGGTGCTGAATCCCAGCTATGAGAATGAGAGAAGAGAACACGTTGGCAGAGGAGGAATGAAATGAAAGGAACCTGTCAGCCAAGCCAGGATTGAGCAGCAGATGGGCCGTGCTGGAGCTCATATGTCAGTCCTGGCAACAGCGGCCATGCCCACCCCTCAGTATTTAAGGCTGGAGAATCAAAATCTATTTCCACATTATGATAACTGGAAAATACAGACACACACCATTTTTTACATAGCGATTGTGAAAAATGGCAATCTTTTTTGGTACAATGTGAGGTAACCGGAGACATTTAAAATGTTTACAACATTTATTATTTTGGGTTTTCTTCTGCTTATAAATTCATACAGATTCACAGCAGAATTTTTTTTTTTTTGGTAGGATAGCCTTTAATTTGTTATATTTTTCCTCCTAATTTTAAATACAGACAAATTTTAAAAAGAAAACAGGCTGGAGAGATGGCTCAGTGGTTAAGAGCACTGGCTGCTTGCAGAGGACCTGGGTTCAGTTCCCAGCACCCACATGGAGGCTAACAACCATCTGTAACTCCAGTTCCAGGGGAATCGGACACCCTCTTCTGACCTCCATGGGCACTGCATGACACAGGTGCACTTACACACATGCACGCAATACACTCATACACATAAAATAAAAATAATTTTAAAAAAAAGTCACCCAGAATCCCACCACAGGTAAGATTGTTTACCTCTATTTTTTTTTAATATATGTAAACATACATTTTTCTTCTCTTTTTAATAGCGAGGGATCATACTGAATGTGAAATGTTGTACTATGCTCTCTGTCACTGAATATTCTATCAGCAGCATCTCTCCATGTCATTAGACATTTGACAGTTGGTTGTAAAGTATCCCATCATATAGCTGTATAATTGACATGATTTACTGCTCTTTGTAAAACACTCAGATTCTTTCCAGCTTCCCCTATTATAATCAATGTTGCAGCAAAGCACTCTGAATATAAATCCAGGTCATCTTCCCTAATTCCTTAAGATAGACTTCTATAAATATGAAAAGTAGGCCAAAGAGAATGGACATTTCAAAATACATTATATTTTGCAAAATTACTTTCCAGAAGACTAATAACGAATTTCAATGCTAGTTAGTGATGTAAAAACTGCCCCTTATTAAACCCTCACCAGCACTGCCAATGTAGTCTTTACTCCCAGGATTATCTGTGGCCAGTGCTAGGTAAAACTAGAGTGTAGCCACCACTATGGTCTGGGCATTTGTCCCTTCCAGAATTCTTGTTGAAGCTCAATCCTCAGTCATATGCTGATGGTATTTGGAGTGAAAGTCTTTGGGAGGAAATGAAGTCTGAGGGGAGGTTCTACATAGTGACATCAGTGACTTTGTAAAAAGAAAAACCCAAGACATCAAGCTTGCTATCTTATGTGATGCCCTCTGCCATGCCTGACCCAGCAAGAAGGCCCTGACTAGGTGTCAAGTGAATGCTGAAGCCATGCTCTCAAGATTTCAGAACCATGAACTAAATAAACCTCCATCCTTTACAAATGACCTGATCTATGTTATTCAGTTATGGCAACAGAAAATGGACTAAGAAAGTTGCCCAAGGCCTTCACAACTCCTTTATCAAGGGCAGGGTATGAGGCAACTTACTTTCTATTTAGATCTCAACCAATGAATGCTCAAGAGAAGTCCATTTGTTTGCTTTCATCCTAACCAAGAGCAAAGCTTACATTTATTTGCATTTCCATGGCTACTGACTTTGGTTTAGGAGGGAAGGCAATCCAGCAGCTCCAGGATTCAGCCTATCCTGAGGATTAGACTGGTCTCCATGGCCCTGGGCTTCGAGCCTACTCTAGTACAAAGTCTCAGGGCAGTCCTATGACCCTAATTATCAAACCTACACCTAGCAGTTTTGACACTGCCCCCCCCCCCCCAGATACAAACTCCAGGCAGGGCCATCTAGCACCAAGCCAGCCCCTCCTGTCTCGGGTTCCAGACCCACCCTGAACCAGTTAGCAACATGGCTGCTGAGAACCAGAATGGCACCCCTGGAATCAGGAACCAAGTTGTTGGCAGACACAGGCTCTAGGCCTACCCACTGCTGGTACAGTCCTGAATCCCTACCCCCTAGGCAAATCTCTGCATCTCCACAGTCCAGCAGATTCAGGATCCAAACCCATTTCAATAACTATTAGTACTGGGCCTTGCCTCCACAGCAACAAGCTTCAAGATCACTGCTATGGACCCAAATTCTAGGCAAGCCCCCACAGTCCTGGGATCCACCCCAGTCCTTATGAGCCTACCTTCGGGCTTTTCCTTGCAGACTAGACTCCAAGAGTGCCCCAGCACCACGCCAGATCTTGTAGACTCAGGTTTTAGGCCCATTCCAGTGGGACTAGCCCATTCTAGGCTCTGAAGACTCAGTCTTAGGGCCCATTCCAACCCTAAGGAAGCCCCTGTAGGGATCTAGGCTTTAGGCAAGCTACCTGCAAACACAAACTCCAGGTGTCTGTGGATTCAAAAAACAGTTTTACCCCAGTAGACCCAGGCTTCAGACCCAACCTCACATACTCAGCACATCAGGCCAACTTGCCTGAGAACTCCAACATCAAGCCTGGCTGTGGCATGTCCAGGATCTCTGGATGGGTCAACTAGTGAAGGATTTTCCAAACAATACAAAGACTGAAATGAGTCCTTGTCTTCAAATCTGAAGATACACCAATACACAACAAATGCAAGGATCAAGAATAAGTGATGCATCACTCCCAAATAAACAAAATAAAGAAATATTAGCAGACCCCAGAAACTGGAGATCTATGAAAAAAAGGGAGTGGAAGACAACCTCTCACTTTTATGGAGCAACATCAAAAGAGCAATCCTTTGGGCTAGGAAGATGGTTCAATGGGTAAATGCTGTGCAAGCATGAGGGCCTGAGTTCAAACCACTAGAACCCATGCCAAAAGCCAGGCGTGGAGGTAGAGACAGTGAATGTTGGGTCTTGCTGGCTACCAGCTGAGCTTTTCAAGTTCAGTGAGAGACTCTGTCTCATGGGAATAAGATAAAGAGTGACAGAGCAGGACACCTGATGTCCTCCTCTGGCCTTCATGTGCACACACACATACACACAAATCCACACACTCATACGTCTCTTACAAACATACATATACATCTCTTACAAACATACATATACATCTCTTACAAACATACATACTACACATACAATTTTTTTTTTTAAAGAGCAAGGATTTGAATTATAGGAATTCAAGAAGAATAGAAGAGACGAAGGAGTAGAAAACTTACAGAAATAACAGAAAAATCCCCATGTCTGGGGAAGCTATAAATGTCCATGTACAAAAAGATCAGAGTTCCTATCACATTCAGTCAAAGTAAGAGTACACCAGCATATGTAATCAGACTGTCAGAAAAATCAGACAGAGGAATCCTGAAAGCAGTGAAAGAAATAACTCATAAAGGGTCTCCAGTTAGGCCAGCAGCAGATTTTTTTTTTCTGGCATAAGTCTTATAAGCTAAGAGAGAAGAAAAAATATTTCAAAGTATTAACAGGGAAAAAAAAAAAAAAAACAAAAACCCTGCTAACCAAGAACACTGTACTTGACAAAGGTATACTTCAGAAATGAAAGAAAAAGATTTCCAGCCAAAATCTGATCATTCACTACAAGATTTACAAGATACATCTTCAAGAAATATTAAAAGGTATTTTTTAAACTGAAAGAAAAAGATGCTACATGAAAATATTATAAAAGCATAAAACACTTTTAGGTCCAGAGAGATGGGTCAGGGATAAATACCCTTGTCACCGAGTCTGATGGTCTGAGTTCAATCTCTTCCACACAGTGGAAGGAGAGAAGTGACAACTTCAAGCTGTCCTTTGTCCTCCATGCATATGCCATGTCATGTATGCATGCATGTGCACATATACAACATACACAAATAAGTGTATTTAAAAACCACAACTCACTAATAAAAGTAATTCCAGGTACACAGTCAAAATACTCTAAGGGCTATGTGTGCAGGATTTGATCCCCAGTACTGATTGTATTGATAGTATGTAACTCATATGCCTTTACTATTAAAGTTATAAAAAAAAAAGTAACAATAATTTGTTAATGAATACACAACATAAAAATGTGAATTTTAACATCAGAACCATGTTATTAAGGCTCCCAGTCCTCAGCACTGCATGGTAACCACAAACCAAACCTTCTTATGACACAAATGGTGAAAAGTAAGGAATCAAAGTATACCACTAGGGAAACAAAACAAGCAAAGAAAAACCAACAGCAACAAAAATTCTAACCACAAAGGAAGCCAGCAAGAGAAAAAAGGAATAAAGGATCTATGAAACAACCAGAAACAACTATCAAAATGACAGTAGGGACCAGCAAGATGCCTCAGAGGGTAAAGGTGCTTGCCACCAAGCCTGACAACCTGAGTTCAGTCACCAAGACCTACATAGTGCTAAGAAAGAACCAACTCCCACAAGTTGTCTTCTGACCTCCAAATGTGAGTATACACACACACACAGACACACACAAACACAATATATGAATAAACAAATGCAATAAAATTTTAATGACATAAGTCCTTACATATCTATTACATTGAATATAAATGGGCTAAGTTTTCTAATCAACAGAGTTGCTGAATAGATTTAAAAATAAAAAAGACCCAACTATATGCTGCTTTAAGATGCCTGCTTCAACTCTGAGGACATGCATTGATTGAAGGAGTAAAGATGGAAAGATGTCCCATAAATGGAAACTAAAAGAGAAGGATCTGTACTTGGATAAAATTGATATTAAATAAAAACCTGTCAGTAAGGACCCACCTGAATGCTGAAGAAGCTCACATCAACCTACTTTACTACACACTTTAAAACATCATTAAAAAAATAACCAAACAACAAAAATTCACTGCTTCTATAAAATACACAGCAGTTCAAAACATGAGAAGCAAACTAAGTAATTATACAGAAGCCATTAATAAACAGCACAGGAAACAGGACTTAACACAACTCATATGTTCAGTAATGTTCACACAAAAAACAGAATTAGAAAAAGAAAGGTATGAATTCAAAAGGAAAAATGTATACTCAAGAAGAAAAAAAAAAAAACATTAAAATGGACACGGTGAAAACAAACCAGTGTATTAAAAGTCCACATCGAAGAATTTTCCCATAACAAAGATACAAATGACAAAGAAATGGAAATTTTGAGTCAAGGAAGACAAGGAACATGGAAAACTAATCCAATCTATCCCATCTAGAATTACTAGAATGAGAAAGCAAAGTAGAACAAATGAAAGCACCAATCCAAAATTAGAAAAGAAAATACCCATTAGCTGAAGACAGCTTTACGTTTTCAGATGTAAAGTGCTCACTAATCACTAAAGTAGTATAAAACGCATTCATATGCACAGACATATGCTAATGACTGTGACCAAACTGAGATTTTTTAAAGTGTAAGATGAAAATAAATTTCCAGACGGAAAACAAACTAGCTAACTAAAAACTGGCTACTTACTTAAAAAAGGAGTCAGACTAGAATAAGATTTCTTGTTTTCAATCAGGTGAAAGTAGAGAATGAAGCAATATTTTCAGATTTTGAGGAAAAATGGCATGATCGTGAATTCTCTATGCAGCAAGATTAAAACTACAACAAGTATTCTGAACTTACACCACTCTATATGGGATATAAAATACTAAAGTCCACATGTCAGCTGTCTATCACTGTAATGAAATACTGGAGATAATTGGCTGATAAAGAGAAAGTTAAATTATGGGTCAAGGTCTTGGAAGTGCCAGTCCAAGACTGGACAGCCCATTGCTTTGGGCCTCTGGTAAGAACAGCACATCGTGACAGGAGCAAGTGGCAAAGTAAAACTGCTTACACAGGCCACCAAGTGAAGAAGAAGAAACCAGGGTGCCACAGTCCCTTTTGAGGGCACCTGTGCAATGACCTGAGGACTTTCTGTGAGGCCTCACTTCCTAAAGGGCCACATCCCAACTGTGTCACTTTGGGGACAATCATTTAACATGTGATCAAAAACAGCAGGATACACCCTTAACAGATACAAAAATTAATCAAAGTAAAATCCAACAAATGTAAAGCTGGATATAAGAAAGTGATATCAGACCTGGTGGCACAGCCTGTAATCCTAGCTACCTGGGAGGCTGAGGCACAAGGATCACAAACAATTTCAAGGTCAGCCTGGGCAACTTAAGCCCCTGTCTCAAACAAAAAAACCCAAAAAGGTGTGCTGGTAAAGCTCAGTGGTAAAGCATGCAGTGAGGCTGTATGTTCATCCCAGAAGAGGGGACGGGAGTGGTAAGTTACATATAGCAGCATATGTCTGAATCCCAGCACTCAGGAGGCAAAGACAGGAGGATTATGAGTTTGAGGCCAACCTAGGCTATAGTGAGATCCTGTCTCAAAAAATGGGGGAGTAGGGAGCAGAGGGTGAGAGGAGAGGAGAAGGAGCAGGAAGAGGAGGAAGGGGAGGAAGGGGAATGGGAGGAGGAAATGGCTTAGCAGTTAAGAGTGCTTGCTGCCCTTCCGAAGGGCTGGAGTATGGCTCCCAGCGCCCACATGGGCAGCTCACAACTGTCTGTAACTCCAGCTCCAGGGGATCTAACACTATTCTGCTCCTCCACGGGCACCTCCACACATGTGGCATACATGCACAGACACAAACATATACAAATAAAAATCTTACAAAGTGAAAAGGGAAGGAGGAAAAGAGGAAGGGAGGAGGTAGAGGGAAAAGAAAAAGGGAAACAGTGTAAAATAATTATTGATAACATGGCTAGAAATTTAATACCATGTTTAAATGATACTTAGCAAAAAATTAATATCTTACAAAATTACTATCATAGTAAGCAGTGTTCCTCCATGGCCTGTGCTCCCGCTCCTGCCTCCAGGTTCCTGCCCTGAGTTCCTACCTTGGGCTCCCTCAGTGATGAACTGCGACCTGGGAGATATAAATCAAATAAACCCTTTCCTCCCCAAAGTTAGTATTGGTCAGAATGTTTTGTCACAGCAATTGAAGGCAACTAGAACACTCACTATAAAGGCTAAAAATATCACTATGTAAATGTAGGCACTTAGAATGTAGCTGAGTGGTAGAGCATGTGACCCCTTCTTCTGTACTCTGTGGGCACTACATGTGTATGGTATACACACAGACAAGTAGTCAGACACACATAAATAGAAATGAACAAAAACAAATTTTTAAAGGAAAAAAAACAGATAAATCTGACTTTATCAAAATTAAAAACTTCTCTTGGAAAGATGTTGCCATGAAAATAAAAAAGGCAAGCTATAGATTATGAGAAAATACATGTAAAATACCTAACTAGTAAAGGACTTGCATTCAGGATATATTGAAAATTCTATATGCCTATAATGCCAGTACTAGAGAGGCTAGGGCAGAAGGCACGTGCATTTGAGGCTACTCTAGGTGCTATATAGTGAGTTCCAGGTCAACCTACGATACCTTATGGCAAAACCTTGTTTCAAAAAACAAGTTAAATTAAAACAAAATTTAAAACCCATACAATAAATATCTTGCAACTTAAAATACATTCAACCCAATTATCAAAAAATGATAATTTGTACAGACTCTTCAACAAAGATACACAGTTTGCAAATAAGCACATGAAAAATCTCCAACAGTATTGGTCATTGGAAAAATGTAAATTAAAGACACAATTGAGGCACTACAATAAACTCATTAGAATGGCTAAAATTTTAAAGATGGATGCATTAGCAAGACTACGGAATAACTGTAATTCTAATGTACTGGTGGGAAAATGGCACAGTGACTTTGAAATGCAAGTTAACGGTGTCTAATAAAGTTAAAGATATATTTACTATAAACCCCAGAAATTTCACTCCTAAGCATATACCAAAAGAGAATATATATCCAAACAAAGCCTCGTGTATGAATTTTCACAGCAGCTTTATTTCTAACAGTTCCAAGCTAGAAACAGCCCAGTGTTACTAACTAGTGAAGAGATGAGCAAATTATGATATATTTATACAATACTTCAGCAATTTAAAAAAGGACTTCTGGTATACTCAACAATATACATGAATCTCAAAAGCACTCTGAGCCATCTACATACAATATTATAAGGACAGAAAGCAGTTCAGCTGTTGGTGGAAGTGGAAGGACAGGACTTTCTAGGGTGACAGAAATGTCCTATAACGAGACTGTAATGTGATTACACAACTATCTCCAACTGTACATATAAAATAGGTAAATATTTTATAGGTAGGTATATAGATCTTTCATACTCAAAACTGATCAGTAGTACAAAACTGATTTTTTAAAACTGGGACGATCTCTTTTGGGATGACAGTTAAGGAAAAGAAATAAGGCACTGTTTACCTTCCCAGTCCTCCATGTAAGGGGCTTCCTCGGCTTCTTTCTCTGGAGTGGATCTGTCAATGAACTTTCCTTCTTTCATAACCCTGGTAATTTCTCGGAGCTGATGCAGCAATCGTTTCTCTTGGTCAGAAGTCACAGTCTGTGCTCTGCTTAGACATACCAGACAATCCAGCCATTTAGCAGTAAATACTCTAGGCAATGGGCAGAAACATCACTCTGACCTGTCTGGATCCTGAGATAGGAAGTCTAAAAGCAGATGATTACTCTATGATTCGATTCTCGAATGGCATGGCTGAGAACCAGAGATGTTAGTTCAATGCTGTAAATTTGTAATGAGAAATCTAATCTACAGAATACATTGATGATTCAAGGTCCCCTGATGAGTTAATACTGGGACAAGAGCCCAGCTATCTGAGCTTTACTTCAGTGGTCTGTCAGTGCACCTCAACACCCTGATTCCCTAGACTCCTACAATTTCACAGTAGCTCTCACACTTACTCTCTTTACTATAAGACACTGTATCTGAAGCAAGGTTGTCAAAGGAAAATATTCTAGGTCATTAGTTTCAACCACAGAAAAAGATTCTGGAGTCGGAAGGCTTTTCTGCTTGTGCAAGAATATGGATATATTCCAAAGCTTCAGAGGTAGACAATTCAGAAAGTTCAGTTGTGTAGATGAGAGGAACTGAGGAACTGAGAGCCACCGAAGAGAAATTTTAGATAGCGTGCTAGTTAGTGCAGCACTATCCAGTCTCCTGACTTCTGAGAGCACTCTGTGCCTTTTCTTTTCTTTTTTCTCCCGTCCACTCCCTCTCCCTTCACCTCACCTCTCCTTTCTTTTAGAATTCACACGAGGCAAGCACTCTACCAATGAGCCCATACCTCAGCACAGTACTCAATTTCTGCAGTTTAGAAGCACTAGTTTGAGAACCAACTAAGCTGTATGGTTCTGGGCAAATATCTGCAAAAACATCATGAGGCTTGAGGACAAGAACACAACTACTTTGAGAGGAAAGCACTGCATCACACAGAAAGGCATGCAGTGTACTACTCAGAAGATGGAGAACCACTGTGAGACCAGTTTTATCTAGTGGCAGGACTTAACAGAGCGACTAATTCTCTCCTTAAAAATAAAGCATTCCAAGTTAGCATAACCCCCACGAAGGAACAAGGCACTATACAGCAGCCTGTGGAGAGCCCTCTACTCACCAGCCAGTTAGCGTGTGCTCCAAATTTATCCTTAATGACTAATAACTGAGGGGGCTGAAAGATGGTTCAGCAGTGAAGAACACTGATTGTTCTTGTAGAAGTCCCAGGTTCGAATCCCCAAAGGCATTGCATGACACGAGTGCACTTACATACATGCAGACAATACACTCATACACATAAAAATCAATCAAAAGAGAGAGAGAGAGAGAGAGAGAGAGAGAGAGAGAGAGACAGAGACAGAGACAGAGACAGAGACAGAGACAGAGAGAGAGAGAACAGCTAGGCTCAGAGAAATAAAATTCCAAACTAAAATATCTTCTTTAAACTTTGAAAAGGGTGTCCTGGTATTGCCCACTAAATATAGCAGACATGGTCTGCCTTGCCACATCTTTTGAATTTACTACAATGAACATTTTAATGGAGTCCTTACTATCTCAATTTGGCTTGAAACTCTTTAAAGATCAGTCAGATACGGTCAAGACAGCATGGCCACAGCCACATCACTGTGAGTGCTTAATAATCATGTGTCGGTCGAATTGGCTCTTATTTCCTCACCATCTATTTTCTTCCGCCTCCCTGAAATGTGGCTTTTACAACATCATTTACCAAAACTTACAAAAATCATTAATAAGCACTGAAAGGGTCTTCTTCCCAGTTCATTCTTTCTGACTTTTCTTGCCATAGATACCCTTCTCCTGAAGCTTCCTCTTTTAGCCATGGACACACCTGTATTCCTATCACTGCTTTTTAAAAAAATATTTTATTTATTATTTTTATTTTATGTGTATGAGTGTATTGCCTGAATGTATGTGGGTTCACCCGTGTCATGCAATGCCGCGGAGGTCAGAGGAGGGCTTCGGATTCCCCTGGAACTAGATTTAAGGAGGTTCGTAGCTGCCATGTGGGTGCTGGGAATCGAACCTGGGTCCTCTGCAAGAGCAGTCAGTGCTCTTAACCGCTAAGCCATCTCTCCAGCCCCCTTAGCACTGCTTTAACCATGTCTTTTAGCTCTGACTTTGGCCCACTTTCTCCCACTTGCTAAAATAAGGTTTTCTGAAGGCTCAGTCTTAACTCTCACGGCTCCATTCTTATACTCCAAGGACGCAGAGTCAGTATCACATAAGCTACCAACCCTACAGAGAAGACATCCTGACTCCATCTTTACCCTTTACCTTCCACAAGTGTCCATCTTGGCCAGCTACTTCCTCAGCATTTCCACTTGGGGCTGTTGCCACTACATTAATCATTAACCTCAAATTCACCCCCTCAAAACCAGGACTCACTTTGCCAAGGATCACAAGCAGCTACACAAACAGGTTGTGTATGGCAGATTCTAAGATGCTAGAATATTGAAAGGTCACAAGTAGAAAACAATGTCACCCTACATTTAACCAGAGGAAACATCAAGTCTAAATCCAAGAGTTCAGCACAAAACAAAATAACACTTCATGTAAGAACAGAAATCAGACCAGAAAGGAAAGACTGTAGGCTAGCGGCAGAGCACAACGGCTGCAAGGATTTGGGGATCTTTTCTTTCCCCACGGCCTTTATCTTAACCTCTAAGCAAATGACTTCTAAACCCAGTCCTTTATTCTGATCTCAAGGCCCAAACCTCCTGTTGCTATTATCCATGAAAACTATATTCTGATGGCATCTCAACCATGTTCAGGGTTGAGTTCAGGGTCTCTAGGTCTCTATCTCAGACTTTAACCTCTTTCTCTTCTGTTTTATCTCAGTGATGCCAAGATCCTCCAGCACTATAAATCTTTGTATCTTTCTTTTCCTCCTTGCTCTTATCTAGTTAGCAGTTTTCCTTTGGGGATGCAATCTCTCTTCTACCCATAGCACAGGTGAGGGTAAAGCCAGCCATCCCTTCACTTCCCTTAAAGGTGGTCAGATGGCTCATCTTCGTATTCCATCTTCCATGCTGCAGTGACTGGTTCACTGATAGATGCATGCCTTACATTGGACCAACTGTACTTTCTCCCCAGTTGGATCTTGAATACAGTAAAGCTTGAACTTGACCGTTTTGATGCTAATTCATCCTGGCAGCACTCCCTGGAGAGAATGCTCCTCTGTTCCTGCTCTGCTCCCCCAAATCTCCAGTGCTCTTATGATTATCCCTCTTCCCAAAACCTGGAGGTTCAATAATTCCTTTGATATTGTTTGATATCTCATAGTCTTCCAATTAATTGTTCACTCTCCCCTCTAAATTTCTACTAATCAGCATTGGGTTGCTTCCAACAATCCATAAAATTCCCTTAATTTGTTCCCTCTTTTCTGTTCTCACTGATATTAGCTTAGTTCTGGTTTGTTTTTTTTTTTTAAATGAGATCTTTCAGTATAGCCCAGGAACTTACAGTCTTCCCGATGCTACCTCCTGGGTGCCCCACCATGCCTGGTGCTATTTATTATCTTTTTGGGGGGTCTTTTTGAGACAGGGTCTCCCTGTAGCCCCAGCTGTCCTGGAACTCACTATGTAGACCAGGTTGGCCTTGAACTCACAGAGATCCGCCTGCCTCTGCCTCCAGAGTGCTGGGATTAAAGGCATGTGCCACCAAGCCCGGCTTATTTATTATCTTTAAAAAAAAAATTTTTTTTTACTTTATAAGTGTATTGCCTGCATGTATGTAAGTACATCTGCGTCATGCAATGCCCATGGAGGTCAGAAGATCCCCTGGAACTGGAGTTAAGGATGGTAGTTAGCTGCCATGTGGGTGCTATGAACTGAACCCAGGTCCTCTAAAGAGCAGCCAGTGCTCTAAACCACTAAGCCATCTCTCCAGCCCCTATTTATTATCTTTTGACAGAACTTCTAGCTTATTTAACAATAAGCTTCTAGCATATATCCATTCTACCTATTATTATAAAACTGGTTTTTCTACAAATATCAAAGCACGACATTTTTTCTCAAAACCTTTTTCAAAGACAATAAACCACAAGCTTCACCTATCACTTAAGGCCTTTGGGTATGGGCCCAGGTTAGTAATCCAGTTTTTCTCCTATTACCTACCTTTCTACCATTTATCCTGTCCCTAGTGTAACCACCCACCCCAGTTCCTTAGGACTACTTGCTGTCCCAAACACTTGCCTTGACTCCCACTTGGTTTGCTGCTGGGATTATCCTCTCCTTCTGAAACATTCTCTTACTGAACTCAGTCTAAGGAACTTCCTGTCTTGTAAAGCTTATCCAAATTCTCCCTTTCCCACCAGACCTTCTATGGAAAGAGCCCCTCTTACCCCCTCAAAGATATCTAGGTCCTAAGCCCTAGAATCCATAAATTTATTACCTTCCATGTAAGGGGATTATGGTTGCAGATGCGATTCAGGTTTCTAATCATCTGATATTATATCTGATATTATCTGGTTTATCTAAGGGGACACAATTGTGACAACAATTCTTAAAAGTGGAAGGAGGCAGTAGAGGTCAAAGTGATAGAATTTGAATAAGTCTCAACACAGTGTTGCAGTCTTAGAAGAGGAAGGATGGAGGCCATAAGTCAAGGAGTGTAGGCAGCTTCTAGAAGCAGAAAAGGGCAAGGACACAGATTCTACTGCAGGGCCTTGCAAAGGGGTATAGGACATCTACAGAACTCCAGCATGCCAATGGTACTGTTTAAACATCAGGTTTGCAGTCATTTGTTATAGCAGCTTTACTTCTCAGGTATACTTCCTTCTAGAGACAATAACCCCTGCTGTTAACTATCATAAATAAAAGGCTGTGCAGAGCAAATGAAAGAGGTTCCAAAGATGTTATTATTGCTGAAGGCTTGCTTTAAACACTTTCTCTTCATTTGCTTTATTCATTATTTCAAGGTGCACTAACACCCAGTGTGCCAGCATGAGGAAGAAAAATGTGGACAGTGAAAAATTCTTTGTTCTCAGGAAGGTTACAGGGAATCAGGGAAGACAGAATCAGAAAGTAAATAAGATGTATA